GCCACCTCCCGTAAACACATTAAATTCCCTTGTTAATGTGTCATTGTATTTGACACTTTGAGCATAGGCGGGCCGGGTAGATAATAAAACAGTATTTGGCTTATGTTTAATAGCCGTCTCTTCTCTGCGTCGTCCCAACAACCGTACAAAGCCTCCGTGTCCTTCAGAAGGCCTCGTGGTGGTTTTGTAAGGGACCTGGCCAAAGATCGCAAGCCCTAAGTCTGACCAACCAGACCCCGGGGCCGGGCAAGCCCAGCCTGTCCTCCTTGGCGGTGCTGGTCGGTTTCTGTGCTGGCGGGCCGAGGCACGGTATTAAATCTGGAGACTGGCGTTGGTTTCTCATGTGGACCTGCGTATGTCTGCACGCGTGGGGAAGGGAGTGTGGCGGCCCCCCGGGGGGTCCCCGACTGCCAGCAGTACGTCACCCCAGGCTCACTGGCCCTGTGGCCCCGTGACAAAGGTGGGTTCGCTGCCTTGTATCAAGGGTCCTGTCTCAGACTCAGCCCTCCTTGGTGGGGTTTTCTGATGGATGTGCCCATGGATCTTGTGGGCTGGGTCGGACTTCAGCGTGTGGGGCATGCAGGGACCCAAGGGGACCGTGTGCTCTGTCACGTCTTCCGCAGCATTGCCCCACTGTCCCCATGCTCGTCCCTCTAGGTGGGAAGGTGGGGGTCAGGGCTGGGACCACAGTCCCCTCTGTGCCCCCCACCGTCCAGCCGTTATGGCTGATTGGGTGACAGCGCCCCCGCCCTGGAATTTAGGTCTTCGTTGGAAGCAGTCAGTGCCCAAGTTTTCTGCATCTGCGGGCGATTAGAACAAAACATCAACTCTACTTTTTCTGTCATGTTTCAATATTGGCGTTTCTCCCCACTTCTTGAAGCCTCCTTTTATAACTTCTGCTCCTGCTGCTTAAATATAGCCGTCTAAGTCCTCCTCCTTACCAGATTGTTTATATTTTTGAAAAGCCTTCTGCTTATCTGCGATTGCTCTCTCTTCTCCGTCTCCATCCCCGCATCACCACATTCGTTTCGGTTGCTCTTTTTTCCCTGCCTTCACTCGACTGGGATGTGTTTCAAATGTGGTCTATCAAAATGTGCAGTGTTTCCCTCTTTTCTGCAGTAGCTTTGACATCTGTTCTTGAATTCTAGCCCATGTTATTCTTTTGGACTTGTTTGCTCAAGATTTGCTGTAATGCCAGAAACACGACAGGGGAGAGAGAGTGCGGTGGGGAGTGTCTC